TGTTTCCATCGTTCCATCCCGTATACTCAGTTCCACATCCAGGAACGGATGTGGAACTGAGTATACGGGATGGAACGAAGGAAACAAGATAGTATAGGTAACATTAAAAAAACATTAAAAAACAATAAACAACAATAAATAACAATAAATAACACTAAATAACAATAAATAACAATAAATAACATTAAATAACAATAAATAACAATAAATAACATTAAATAACAATAAATAACAATGAATAACAATGAAAAACATTAAATAACATTAAATAACAATGAATTACAATAAATAACAGTAAACAACAATAAATAACAATAAATAACAGTAAGTAACATTAAAAAAACAATAAATAACAATAAGTAACATTAAATACCAATAAATAACAATAAAGAACATTAAATAACAATAAATAACAATAAATAACATTAAATAACAATAAATAACATTAAATAACAATAAATAACATTAAATAACAATAAATAACAATAAATAACAATAAATAACATTAAATAACAATAAATAACAGTACGCGGATGAACAAATGGGTTTTTTCCGAGATCTAAAATCACTGCGAGAAAATGTCTGCGTACGGAGGAACGTCCCGAAAACAGTTTAGCAACTCTTGACAAACAATCACCCTGAATGCCCCGTAATATATTTCCTTTTCAAAACGCACAAAAGCGAGAAAGAGGACATATTGCAAGCTAACGAAAATAAACTAAAAACTCGACCAATAATTTCGGCATGTGATTGTCCAACAGACCGGGTTAGTTGGCTAATAACATCTACCCTTACACCATTGTTGAAAGAAATACCGGCACACCTAACGAATACGGTACAACTCTTACGGGATATTGAAGACGTGGATTTACACGATGCGAGAATGGAAAGTTTTGACGTGGAATCGCTATACACAAACACAAACAATGATGCTGTTGTTGAATGCCTCTTCCAGCTCCTTGCCAAGAATCTGAACTCCATCAATCTACTCGGCATTACACCCTCTGACCTGAAGCAACTGACACTAGCTTGCCTCAGATGCAATATTTTCAGGTTCAGGGGTGAAAACTACAAACAAATAAGGGGCCTAGCCATGGGTAATCGACTAGCACCATTACTGGCTATCACGTATATGGACTCCGTAGAAAGGAGATGTATCATTAGGGATGTGGTACTGTATCGAAGGTATATTGACGACATCTTGATAATTACCAAGGAAGATAAATGCATGGATTCAATATTCTCGTTAATGAACAGCCGCACAGAAGAAATAAAGTTCACACGAGAGGCACCAAATGAGGAAGGTTGGCTACCGTTCCTGGATGTGGAATAGAGTATACGGGATGGAACGATGGAAACAAGATGGTATAGAAAACCGAT